GTCGTGCTCACATCAGGTCCCTATAGCCCGGTGCTTGCACTTTCATTGTTCTTCAGGTGAACCTCCCGCATGGTCTTACCCCGCCTCGTGGAGCCCAGACACGTGATGAGAATGTGCCACCATTGAGGCACGTCGTGGTTGTATTCATTGCCACCAGGACGGATGCACCTCCTCGCGGTGCCAATACCATGTCGCCCTCGACCGGTACTATGTCGAATTTCTCGTCAGTGTGGATGCAGTCCCCCCCTGCCGTGTCCCGGCCTGCACCATCCAACTATCCACGGTGCGTTGTACCGTTCATGCCTCGTTTGTCGCCGACCTCTGGACCACTGAGGCAAGGTATGTTTCTTAAGCTACCGTATAAGAGGATCCTCAACACACGATATACGCAACTTCCCTTACCCCACTGTATGTCGAGATACCGTCTGCCCCACAACAGACCGTCACGTGCAATCCTTTTCCCCCGAGACTTCCGACGTGTCGCGCTATTCGCACAACTCATTGCAATGCTCAGCTGGCGACTTGCGATGATGTTGTGTCATCTCTCTTGGGTATGAGCATTTTTCAGGCCCATCAGGAATGACGTACGTGGCATATATATGTCTTGCTTCATCTTCTCGCTTTGCTTTCTTACCTTGATCGCACACTCTCTATTATTCATATTCGCCTTGGGATATCTACGAGGGTGTACCACGCCTTATGAGACTTCGACTCACAAAGAAATTTTGTTCACCCTCATATGGTCGAGGAAGCTCGCCTAGCTAGCTCCGGGTCTTGCTCTCATATTTATGTCACCCTCGGAGATAACAAGACGTCGCGCTTATTCGATCAGACGATCCATGTCCTCCACTCTTTCCGTACCTTCCATATGTCGGATAGTACCGAGGCGTCTCGCTGTTATCATTCCTCCGAACACTTCAATATGTTGGAGACTAGGTATGACTTTATCCCTGACAGTCTTTGGACTCGCAAGTTCTATGGGCCAAAGACGGAACGAGTGATTGAGACACTTGTTTTTAGAACGAAGAGTGGTTAGACCCATCGTGTCCCTTTCATTGGTAGTACAGGCGACATCCCTTTCAACGGTGTTTTCGTTAAAAGTGAAATTGTTTTCATGTTCACATTTTATTTTAATTGTAAAATGACACAAAGAACTGAGGGAAAAATAAGCAAACAACGAGAAAACAATGGTTATTCATGAAAGTTGTTGAAGGAAATTAAACACAAATTTTCACCTCGAATGTTCACACATACACAAGCCGCAAACATATTGACATGTCACTCAGTAAAACACGCCAACCTCATCAAAAACTGATGAGAAGTCTAGGAAATGTCATTATACATTGTTGGCAATCCACTCTGTAAACATGTCACTCAGTAAAACACGCCAACCTCATGAAAAACTGATGAGAAGTCTTAGACTAGAAAATGACATTATACATTGTCAACATATTTTCAAAATTGTCTACAATACACATTTTCAACCGGAATGTTCACACTAAGTAAACATGTCAACCTCATTTTTCCAAACCTAGAACCTGAATTCTCATTGACTTTCCTATCTTATGATGGACAAAATATCAAATGCTATTCTAAGTCTCATATCACGAATACTATCTTGTGAGAAACCGAACGGAGGGATGTGACCTTTTGAAAACAAAGATGCAAAACCTAACATAAAAACACCACAACTAGAAGAATCCTCTTGAGCGGGAATCTCATCTACCGATGTATCAAAGTAGGATGTAGGCTCCTGCACATGATATTTTTCCCAAAGATTTTGTCGCTGAAACTCCGCTCTGAAAAAACCTGTCAAAAGTTCGAGGGTTGGACCGTAGTCAACACGATGGAGAGAGTCTACGAGGCGGAATTTACACTCAGAGCGATCTATACTGACATAAGCTAAGGCCCAATGATTTCCGAAATGGAGAGGGATAATTACCAAATCAAAATTAAAAAAAATTATATCCTTCACCCATCTCGTCCCTTCAGAGTATGCGATTTCAGCGGACTGAGTTTTTGACAATCTGGGAAAGAAAAAAGAATTTAGAATATGCACAGATGGAATGCTACAAAAACTTTCATCTTTTGCCACTTCTGCACATGTAGAATCCACCTTCTTGATGTAGTCATTGGTGATCTGAACGGCTAGCAGATAGAAATTGACGACTTCATCATTTAACCATTCCCCATCGTTGACGGCGAGCATGACGTCTTTCTTTTCCACCTTCCACCTCCCCTTGTAATCGACAATGCCGTATTCTTCATTCTCTTCAGTGCTGTCGGTAACCATTTCAAGGAATCTGGAACGAAGGTTCATGTACTGCATACAAACATACATATAAACAACAATAGAGCGACTAAAACTTCACACAAAAACAAGTGATAGACTACATAGATATGATCTCATGTTGTTGGTTGTCTATCTGTTTCGTCATCAGTGCTGCTATCCATAACAGATAAACTGCAACCCGCGCAATGCAATTTATTCCCTTCTGTGAGGCTTATTCCAACAATTTTAAACATCCTTAAGGCATCTGGCCTCACAGATGAAAATGTCATGGGTGTACGACTTCTTCTCTCATTTTTTGACAATAACGGCAAAGTTGACAAAGCTTGCAAACCACGACGAATGATATTTTTCTCTCTCTTCCTTTGCGAATGTACATGTGTCGTTTTCCATAGTTCTTTTCCTCGCCCTGCATAATTGACAAAATAAAACATAATGAGTTACAAGTCCGACTTTCCATTGTTGAATCTGACTCATGAATACCAATACAAAATATATGGCAATTGCACTAAGTCTTCATACAAAACAATTGCAGTATTTCTCTTCAGAAAACGTACAGTTCCAAAGCTAGGTAAATAAACAATACATCTGAGGGATCGACACAATGGGAGATGAGTGCATGAGATGTACCCACTAATCCGCATATAGTATTAGATATTGCTCCTAAGATAAGAAAGTGCTCACCTCGATGGCTAACTCTCATTTTTTCTTCAACACGACCTTCTGTCACACCTTCCATATGCAATGGCGCAATAGGAGATTCCTCGATCGCTATCATGAGGTTAGCAGACTGTGGTGTTTGAGGTTGTTCAAGCGTTTGTTGAGGTTGTACAAGTACAACTTGCTCCGGTGTACTAAGGACTATATGTCCTTCATCCTCTTCGATGCCCTGTACATGGAGAGTTTCTTCCTCCTTTACGCCCTCAAAAGTGTCTTGGAAAGTGCCGCTTACTTCGGCCTTCATCGTCGACGACGGCATCTGCAATTTCGTGAGTGTACCAGTAATATTCACTTTCATCGCGACACTGTTGCCCACTAGTATTGTAGTCGCCCAAACTTGGTCAACTGTACTCACGCCCTTGCAACTCACACCGCCTTTTCGTCCCGAAGTTTTGGCACTCACACCGGCAATCGATCCCCGTTGCTGTGTCGGGTTGGACTCAACCACGAGTTTCTCCGCTCGGTCCAGCTGGGAGCGCTCTAATAGTGGACCCCTGTGGTGTTCGACTCGACCGTGTGACCCTTCGACAGGTGAAACAATGTCGATTGGTCTCGAAGCCTTGCCACTTGTACCGGCGATTGATCCCGTTCCCACTGTCGGGTTCGACTCGACAGTGATTGCTGGACGAGTGTCGTGTTCGATACGACCGCGTGACTCTTTGACAGGTGAAGCACCGCCGATAGTTGTACTGCCCCCCCGTAGTCCCGAAGGCTTGCCAGTTGCACCGGCCATCGTTTTCGATCGAGGTCCCGAAGCCTTGCCAGTCGCACCGGCGATCGTTTCTGATCCCACTGTCGGGTTCGACTCGACCGTGTGACTCTTCGCTCGGTCAAGCCGGGAACGCTCCAATGCGAGACCACTGTCGTGTTCGACTCGACCATGGGACCCTTCGACAGTTGAACCACCACTCGATCCTGATCCCTTGCGCTCTGTCTCTTGAAGCCCCTGAGACCCTTCGACAGTTGACCCACCGCCGTTTGGTCCTGCAGGTTTGCCATGCCCACCCTCGCTTGGTGTTGATCCCTTGCCTTCTGTTGCTTGACGCCCCTTAGACTTGTCGGTTTGTTGTCGTTCCCCAGGACTTGCATCCTTGCCGCTTGCACCGTCATTCGGTTCCGTACCCTTGTCACTTGTACCGCTCCCCGATTGCAATCCTTTGCCATGCGCACCTCCGCTCGATCCGGATCCCTTGCCATGGTCACCACCGCCGCTTGATTTTTTCCTCTCCCCAAGATCTTCTCTGACATGCCAATAATATCCATAAGTCGGGCTGGTTTGTCTATCATAGAACTCTTCCAGATACTCAAGTCACTGCGATGTTTTGAACGCTTGGAAAATTTCTTCTGTTCTTTCATCTAGTCTTGATTGAGAAACCTCCGGATTAAGACGATGGAGTCGCTTGGCAATCTGATTTTCGGCATGTTTCATAAAGTTCGATCCTGACATACGTCTGTGGAGGCAAAATTGCCACTCCCCTTCTTTTTTTATAGCCATAACCCACCTCCCTCTCGCCAATCCAGGTTGGAAGTGTTGGGGGTGCCATATAATGTGATGACCCCATGTGGCATCATCCGTCACCGTATAATCGTCTCGGCACACTATAGGCCCCGGAAGCAGTCGAATGTCTGCAGGGATTGTTTCTTCAATCTCGTACTCCAAAGGCTCATTAAGTGGAGGTTGTTGTGGAGTTTGAGAGCGTAGCAATTCCATAATAGTACTTGGGCTGTGTACAAATGGTGCCAGAGTTGCCACCAACTCTGGGGAGAGCATTGCTAGAACACTCTGATCCAGACTGACTCCGGATGCCACCGTCATCGTATTTCCGCCATCTGAGTCGGCGTAACAATAGAAGAAGTCGGCGGCTGAGTCATTAACTAACCCGTTGAAACCGCCATGCTCGAAGCTCCTCCAGAACCGGACGATGTGCCTGGAACGCCCATTCTCTGCGAACCCGGGCTACAAGCTTTTTGCCTCTCAGCTGCCAAAGCCGCTTGCAAAGTGCAATCAACACTCTCTTCTTCTAAGTCGTCGGCATCGAAGTCCTCACCATCCACAAAACAAGTCGCATAACCTGCGATTGTAAACGCCCCGATTTGTTGGTCAAAGTACATGGTCTCCAAGCGGTCGAGAAATGAAACCTCCTTCTCCGATGGTGCTTTATGATCACCCAAAAAACCTTCTCCACTTTTCTTCTTCTGAGGACATAAGTACGTTCCCCTCTGTCTTGCGGCTGTGTTTCGAAGAGAAACTCCCAAATATTGACCATGTTTTGGCCAACCTTGTAGACGAGATCACGCCCTTCATCATGTCGAGGAGGCGGCTTAGTAAAGTTGGCGTGGTAATCTCGAGTTTTGACCATCTTGTCAATGAACTGAATGAGGAACTCGAACTTCATACCCTCCCCTTCCAACACAATGCAATGACGGTGACTCTTTAACAGCTCCCAAACCAATCCCGCATGACCTTTCCCGAGGAAAACGACAGCCTCATCTCCAGGACAAAAATGCTCCAATGTCTCCACCATCGCATTCGGCTCCCTTTCCATACCATCATAGACCACTTTCTCCGGTGGATCCATACCTGTCATTTTCCACTTTGATGGTAGAAAGTTATTCTCCACGACATAAGTCAACATCTTCGGCTTTCTCTCTCTCCGCACAAGTGTCAATATGTCAACCACCCGCTCGGCAGGTGCTGGACCTGCAGCTTGAATATCTTCAAACAAGGGAATAGTGTTGCGATGAAAATCTCCGTCGTTGGAGTACATGATGACCACCATTCTGTCTGTGTCCTCCAAAGACAAGTTTGCAATCTTATACACTTTCCCCTTTGTTTGTTGTAGACGAGTCCATTTGAGAAGATCCAATTGAATGTCCCACATCGCGACTCGCCTCAAGAATATGAACTTGCAAGGGCGTGGAACGAAGCACAACAATGTCCAATACTCGCCGCCAAGTTTGTCCATGAACTTCTTGAGTCCAGCAAACACTTGTTCACTCCACGTACCCATTTGGGTCGGGTGGCACAAATCCAGGACGGCTGTGTAGCACGTTAAGTGTCTGACGGCTCTAAACATCTCCTTGCAATCCATCTCGTCTGAAACATCGTTCGGTTCCCACTGGAACGGCACGAATATAGATGCCACGTCCTGTTTCTGGAAATGTATGTATCTCGCTTGTTCCGACATACGAATGCTATGTGAACCCCCAGTTTCAGATCTACGCAACAACTTGTTGACAAATTGAATGAACTTTTCGGGGCATTTATTTGCAAGCGATTTTGTTTTCTTGAAGCCCTCCTCTCCTTTCTCATCCTCGTCTCCAAGTGTAGCCGGAAATGACCGCACCCAACTCGTTTCTTTGAAATGCCGTCGCTGGTCGATCCACCTCTCCGATGTCAATTCATGATCAGAATACCTAGCGAACAAATCAGAAAGGTTGTCAAAGAATGGTTCCTTCCACTCTGACGGCTTCTTGTGAGGGTCAGAAATGAAGACGAAGTAGTGAAACATTCTCAACATTGCTCTTTCCTGCTTCCTCATTTCCACGTATGTCTCCATCGAATGTTTCCCGACAGTGTTAGCAGCTTTACTTAGCCTTGGAGCCAGTACAACACATCCCGTGAGAATGTCTCTCAACAGCTGCAGCCTCTCACGCCTCCTCAACGTAGACATAGCCTTCCATGATCTGACATCCGGATCGCGCACAGCCATGAGGTAACCAGGTCCTCTAGTACCCTGAATCCAGTGCACTGGAACCCTGACTCCTTTTTCCAACTCGAATCCGGGGCCAGGTCCCGGCGCTTTCCCCGATTCACCTTGTTCGGTGGCAGGCTTCACACCATCTCTCCCCGGCAACTGTCCACTCTCCCAAATAAAATACACTTGTTGCACCTTCTCGAACACATCGTCCGTCGCCCTTGCCAATATCATGTAAGACCCGAGGACGTCGGACCACTCCTTGCTCCAAGGCTGAAGTGAAAGAGTAACCAAATGATCACTCCCGGTCGCGCGCAGAGCCATCGCCGCAAACTCTATGTAATCCTTATTTTTGACGTCTGCAGCAGATCCGCCTATAGCTTCTGGACGACCGGCTGCTTGCCATAACTTTCGTATGTTCTTAATGATAGCAATTTGGTGCGGAGGAGTATTCCATTTGTCCTTCGCATTTTGGAAAGTGCTCAAGGTGCAGTAATTTTCCATGCTCCTATCCGGATAGTAAACAGGCCTTGCAGTCCAGCAATCCAAACGGAGCTCACGGGCGATGTCAGGGCGTTCTTGAGAACATTTTCTCGCCGCTGCAACATTGTGTTGACCACTGAGAGGGTACCAGTAGTACTTGCGCACGGATTGGAGATCGAATTCGCGGGGCGTCACTTTTCTCGCCCTCACATTCGTACCGGAAGCGTCAGTATGCATTGTATCATGTAGCCCAATCAACAGAAGGACAGGCTTCTCGTACAATGCACATACATTCACCCCGGCTGCCCCGATCGTTCTCTCTCTGATAGCTATCTCACCCGACTCAACCATTGTTTTGTAAAGGTCATCAATAAGCTCCTGATCGAGGAAGCGTTGATTATATCTGAATTCCTCATCAGGGATATCCAGAATCCTATCCAACTTGACAGAAATGAACTGCATTTCCGGCCTCTGGTTACCATTCTCGTCGAACTCAAGGAAGAAGCCTTTGCTCAGATGACTAGAAGAATTCCCATGCGGCAGAATCTGCAAACCGGGCGGTCTGGTGACTGTCCTGCACACAATGTCTTCATCCGACTGTGGCTGGTCCGGTGGAAAAACGGAAGTTTTTTCCATCACACCTCCCTTCGCTGCTTTTTTCCTTGGCTGCCGTTTTTTCTTCATGGCCTCCTCAGCCTCCCTCATACGTTGAACGGCCTCCTCAACTGCCAGCATTTTCAACTTGCGTTTGCCCTCCTTTTGCTTGGTTCCCCCCTCCTGCTGGGTTTTCTTGCTGTCCATAGCACGTCTCCTCTCTTGCCTCATCTTCCTTTTCTTCTCAGCTAGTCGTACTGCATCGTCATGCGCCGGCTCGACCCCAACTTCGCGGTGCATTTCCCCGCGCCCTGGATCCGCTTACCAATGCCCATGACCCGGCGCGAGCAACTGTGTTCGTTTGGAACCCCGATGCACATCTGCGTACCCTCCCTCGCCGATCGTTTCCTCTTCTTGCCCTTCGTCCTCATACTCAACCCCTAGACAACCCTCCAACTCGTCCGGCCCACCCCTCTCGCTAATTGTGTATTCACTCTCTACTTCCTCTTCTTCGTCACCCTCCTCATATTCTTTGCGTTCTTCATCGCGCTCCCATTCTTCTTCGCTGTTCTCCTCGTCGTCATCTCCAAAATAATGCGACCCAGCAGGAATGGCCAACTCATAGCGCGGCGGGCGAACCAAGGAAACGGGTTCCTTGGTTGATGTCGGTCTACGCTTCACAGGCGCTGACAGCACGATTTGGCCGCGACACGGACCTTTCTCCCCGATCTGCCCTGATTTCGGAACTCGTGTTGCAGCAACCGTAGTCCGAATTGATGGCGGAGGGCGGGCACCTATAATGATCGGTTTCGACGACGGACCCGCCTCCAAAGACGAAGAAAACACGCTTTTCGGTTCAGATATGCGGTCGGAAGCATGCACCACCGGCTTATGCCCTGCGACCACATGTCTGTCGAAGGATGCGAAAACCGATCGAAGGTCCGACAACGTCAATTTCTCCGTCCCAGGCGGATTGAAAATATCATAAAGCCTTTTGCCGTACCCAGCGTGTTTGGCCCAACGAAGAGCAACGCGTTTGACATCCGCAATCCGCTCACCTCTAGCGTTAAGGACCATCGTCAACTCCAACATGGCGAACTGTGAATTTCCTCGACTCCACTTCACCACACCGCCAATCGGAACAATGTTATCTTTGATCACCACTTACAAAACCAGCCCACCCGAGGGTTCCCAATTCCACCCACCCAGTCCAACATCCAGCACCTGTCTTTGTGGTCGACGACAGGCACCTCGTCTCCCACACCTGCAGCGGACGTGTCACCAGACCTTTTACGCCTTAGCACAACGTCCATCGCAGATTTCCCCAGTCGACCAGTAGCCTCCTCTTCTCGACCCGCAGCCCCATCACTCATCAGCACAGCCGAATCCGGTCCCGAACCACGAACATGGGCGGAAGGAGTGCCCATAGAAGGTGCACCCCGCAGCACCGGGGTTCGGTGACCCTTAGACCCCGGTGTGTCGCCAACCCCCACGCCAGCCGTCGGTGTCCCCTTCCGTTTTTTCGGAGACTGCTCCATGCTCCCGGAACCAGCACTAGTACGTCGTTTGCTTGGCTTCCCCTCGCGATCCATGCCGAGCAGCTAGTCGCAAATGAAGAAAACGCACAAGCGAGAAAACAGTCATTGCTTTGCCAACGTGCAAACACCACAGCACTTGAGAACGAGAGTAGACAAGAACACAGAGCAACCAGCTCGTCGTCGTTTCACTGTCGTGTCGAACTCGACGGCCGTGCCACGACGTCCTCCAGTACCGTCGAATCCGACACGAGAGCGACATTGCGGTGTCGTCGTGTCACTGTCGTGTCGAACCCGACGGCACTGCGCGGGCTGACCAACCGTCGTGTTGGACACGACAGCTACACTGTTGTCTGCCGTGCGACAGTCGACCAAGCGGCCCTTCATGCACCGTCTGGTCGACAGATAACAGTGTCCATGTCGTGTTCGACATGATGGTCGCCAAACGGTGCCTGTAGGGGAGATGACTGTCGTGTTCGACACGACAGCGACACTGTCGTCCGCCGTTTGACAGTCGACCAAGTGCCCTTTCGGGCACCGTCTCGAATCCGACATGAGAGCGACATTGGGGTGTCGTCGTGTCATTGGCATGTCGAACCCGACGGCACTGCGCGGGCTGACCAACCGTCGTGTCGGACACGACAACTACACTGTTGCCTGTCGTGCGACAGTCGACCAAGCGGCGCTTCATGCACCGTCTGGTCGCCAGATAACAGTGTCCATGTCGTGTTCGACACGATGGTCGCCAAACGGTGCCTGTAGTGGAGCTGACCGTCGTGTTCGACACGACAGCGACAGTGTCGTCCGCCATTCGACAGTCGACCAAGTGCCCCTTCGGGCACCGTCTGGCGACCATCGTGTCGAACACGACAGCGACACTGGGGTGTGTTGTGCGACATTTGCCGGGTTCGACACAATGCTCGGCGGACGGTGCCTAAAGGGGCACTTGATCACGAGAACACAAGACAACAGATTGCAAGCACTGGTTAACACGGAGAAACATTGACTGCTGAATGTTTGTGCACGCAAAACATTAGAACAATGAGTTTTCGTTTTCCGAAAGGAAACACAACATGAGAACAACAATCAAAGGCTGACAGCGATGTTTCGGTGTCCAAAGCCGACCAAAAACACGTCATCGTTCCCGGGTTTCAATGAATCAAAAACAATATGAGGACAACAACGTCAAACGTGTGTACTTTTGGCCACTGAACACATGACGAGAACAACTAGCAGATACCGCGTATTGTTATCGAATAACACATTGAGAACAGCAATCGAGAACAACCAGCAGATACCGCGTATTGTTATCGAAATAATACATTGAGAACAACAATCGCAATGAAAATTCCGCGAGGTTGTCTATCGACTACGGGAAACAATCTCGCATTTGCGGCCATTTCGGCCATTCAGTATGCCGTTTTGGTCATCCAGTATGACGAAGGCTATCTACCGACTACGGGGAACAATCTCGCCGTTGCGGCCATTCATCACGGTAATTGGCGATCCGAAGGTCAGCTGCTGCGCCGTCTCAGCAAACACCGAAATGTATGTCATTCGCACGAACCCAGATTTCCCGACGAGAGAAGCGCCTATAGCATCCCGAATTGAAACGACTTTAGCCTCGACCTCGCGCCATGCGACAACGTCCTCCACCTGGCCACCCACCACGATATCCAGTCTCCCATCTACCCTCCTTTGAACTAAACACATATCCCTTCCTGACATAGACAACTCGTTCCTGGACACATACACGACAACATCAGTCAAGTTTCTAGCCCTGCTTGAAACGGCAATACAGAGGACCCTACAGAAGATAAAGTATGCCAGACGCAATCTCACACAACAATACGAAACTGCTCCTGGCGACAGACCGGGAGATCGCAACGGATAATGATCGATGAACTGAGAATGTTGCGCACAATCGAGTAACTCCTGTTTCATAACACGGCACCAGGTGCGAGGCAAGGTTGTCACGTATTCGCAGTCCAAAACCCCCACAACACGGCTTATTTTTAGTTTTTTACATAGTAGCGGCAAGCGAACGGGACACAGCACATCGAACGGCACGGGAATGCGTTTGCCAAATTCGGACATATTCGCAAACTCATAATCGTACGCCCATGGACATCTCTCCATTATGTTCACCCACTCTTACTCCTCCTACGAGTCCAAATGTTTGTCGCCAAACGGGAGGATTCTCATCCAAGGGTCGCGTTCGAAGTCTTCTGGACAAGCGCCTTCATAGGTTACGCTACTCTGACATTGTCGGACGTACAGCGCGCAAGGTGGGAAAGGGTGTGCCTTGCGTGCACGCCAAAGTGTTGGGGTCATATTAGAGATCTCCATAGCAACAGTGAAGAGAAGACGACCTGCACGGCACAAGAGCAACGGTCAACATCAGCAGTAGAACAACCAACAGCATCATAGAACTTTCACCCCGCTCCCACCAACAATGGAACAAACCAGGCCGCACGACAGCACAATGCACAAAATCTATGAGCGCAATCCGACCCCATGCACGGTCCATAGCACTGCACACAATCATGAACGATTCGATGACATTGCACCGCGCACATTCTCGTTCCACTAGAGGACAGGGAAGGATCGTGTTCGACTCAACGATAGGGCACTCGCCTATCGTGTTCGACACAACGATCATGTTCGATTCGACGTTCATGTCCGACTCGACAATCGTGTCCGACTCGACGATCGTGTTCGACTCGACGATCGTATTCGATTCGATGATCGTGTCCGACTCGACGATCGTGTCCGACTCGACGATCGTGTTCGACTCGACTATCGTGTTCGCCTCGACTAT